GCTGAACGCGTTGATTATGCGACTTGGTAAGCTGCTGCTGGTATCGCTTAGGGCCTCCATGGCATCAGTGAAGTTGACCTGCTACTCGGCACTTCAATGGAGTTGACCTGGGACTCGGCACTTCAGTGGAGTTGACCTGCCGTTGGTGTCTTTCCAAAAAGGAGATAACATGCTTGTGCGGATTGCTAGGAACCACGGATTTGCTCAATGCCGTGTTCGGTCGGGAAACGTAGCAGCTGATGATAGGTACTTGGGACGGCCTGAATAGTATGCAACCAAGTTCGCCCCATGATGAGATTATATGGCGAAGGGAGCTTGACGCCCACGAATTCCACATCTACTGTTTGGGAGCCCGCTCGAACGGGAAGTGTGATTTTCCCCAACGGGTACTCTGGATTTGCGTTGAAGCCGAATAATGGATGAGGAGCTAGAGACAGGTCTGATTCGTTGAAGCCGAGTTTGATGAAGGTCTCGTAATACATAACCTCTGAATTGCTCCCCTGGTCTATGAGGACGCGTTCAACGGTAAATCGGTTTACGTGTAGTTCAATGACCAATGGATCAATTTGGGAAGTGTGATGTCGATAAGATCAGAATCGTCGAAGATAATACTTGGAGCTTCGTGGGGCCGTTTCGTTGATGTGCGCTGCTTCTGGGGGGCTGACTGAATTGCATGTACGGTAAAAGCCGTTGGAAGGCTGTATATCATATGAATGACGCCGAGCGAAGGTGAATCCTGCCGAAGGGCAACTGTTTTGATTGCACTCTTTCAGACATGTTGCTAGAGCCGGCCATTTTGCACCAATTCCTCAAGGTGGTCTTTCAAAGCGTAGCAACTGTCCGTATCATGGCCGTGATCTTTGTGATAGTCACACCGCCTATCCCGCCTTCTCGTGTTGGGCGGTCGCACCATTTTGGACGGCCATTTGAAGAATGGAAGATGTTGGATTTTGGACATAACCGAGCTGATTGGCTCTGACAGCTCTGTATATTTCTTGTCGGCGCGCTTTGTGTGCCTACTATCAACTTGCAGTTGCTCATTTGCTCGGTGTGAGCATTGATCGCTTGATCGGCAAGAATCCCGTTTCTTGTTTCGTTTAGCCCGTTGTCGTGGTTCGGGGCTCTGAGGTGGTACGGAACTTATTGGCTAAGCAGTTTCGGGAGGGGCCGTTTTGTTGGCCATGTGTCCGGCTTTAACCCGTAAGGCGTCATCTTCCACTTTGCAGTATTCCTCTACTTTCTTCATCAACCCCCAGACCGTTTTGGGGGGTCTTCTAGTCAAGGAACTGCGGAGGGCACTATCTGGATGTAATCCCATTTTGAAGGCGGTGATGGCCATAGAGTCGTTGCAAGCGTCATCAACAAGATTAAAGCATTCCCAATATCGCGCCGAATATGCTCTTAGTGTTTCTCTTGGTAGGATTTGCATTGCCCAGAGAGAATCGGCTTATTTCAGCTGGACCTCGTTAGTGATGAATCTGGCCTTAAAGAATTTCTATAATTGGTGGAAGGTTTTGATCGAAGTCGGCTCCAGTTTATAATACCACCTGACAGCTAATGGTCCCAAACTGTTGGAAAATATTCGGCACATGAGGGCCTTGTCGTTTGTATGCAATGTCATGGCTTGCTTGTAGTGGCAGATGTAGTCGGTGGGATCTGATTTACCGTTGTACAAGGTGAATGATGGTGCTTTGAATTTCTTGGATAGTATTGCCTTTGCGATCCGTCGTACGAATGAGTCGTTTGATTTTCGTCCGAACTGTTCCTTCTTCGCTTGTGCCTTATACGGGGCTTTCTTCAGAAGAACTAGTAGTTTCAGGTCGCCCCTTCTTCCTAGGCTCCGGGGATAACGAGTCGGAGCCGCTATCAGTGTCGTCCTGTCGGGCTCGAGGTCATTGACCACCTACCTTCGGCGATCGTTCCGGATTTAGGCGTACAGCTTGTTTGGACTTTGCCACTTCTAAGGCCAAATCTTCACGAAGACGTTCGTTTTCTGCGATCATGTTCTCCAACCTTTGTTCGTTTTGCTTTGCCTGTTCCATGATCGCTTGCATTGTTTCATGCTCTGGAGTCGAGGGTGAGGCAAAGTTCAGAGTGCGTCTTACGGGGATGGTGTCCGGTCCAAGCCTGTTTGGTGGAGTGAGGTCGTCTCTCTACGTGGTTTTATCAATGACTATTGGAGGGTCCTCCGTCACACCCGCCATGTATATGCTTGAGTATTCCCACAGATGGCGCCAATTGTGGAGAATTGGTTTGGAAATACTCTTCTAATCCTGCGGACGCTCGAGATCTGCTGATAGTCACCTGAAAAGGAATAAACACTTCGGTCAGGGGTACCGGAATTAGCACTCTGACGGACAAGTCAGTCTTTACGCTCAAGATTACTTATATTCTAAATTAAGCACAACAATTCTCACCTCTCTCTCTCTGATGGATGATCCCATATTTATAGTATTTTCTTTGGGCCTTTGGGCTGGGCCCATCCTTGTTCCGTCACATGTACCTCTACTTGGCGTCAGTTCTGTTGGCTAGGATACTGGTTATTTTATTCGGCTCCTTAACTGGCTGGGGTATATGCCGAATACAGGTTACGTTTCTGACCGGACACGCTCATCCGTCCCTATGGATCTAATAAAATCCGGCTCCCACAGTTATGCATTCCACATGCTACATTTACCATACAATCATCATCAGCCATCAACTTACAAGCCCTTAACTCAAAGGGACACCCGCATTTCTTTGTACCCGTTATCTTCACAATTTTTTTGTTTGAATCATCTCTTTTTAATTTCTTATGAGCTTTGTATTGACCACTTCTCTCATAGGTAAGACATATCCTTGGTGTCCTATGACCACCACCATAGTCCAATGTCTTGATGACAATCACAAACCCATTTTTCCTTCCAACGTCCCATGTCCAACCGAGCAATCCTTCTTTGCTCTTGAAAACCTACAAGTCAAATTTACCAAAGTCATTAAATATGCGAAAAGAAAAAGAAAAAAAATACTAATTTTCGACATGAAACTACCTCATTAGTAATAAATTGACTTGTGTAGTCAACAAGACCCCTAGATCCAACATTACTGCATTCCACGGATGCATAATTCTGGAAAAACCAAAAATAAAAATTTACAAGTGTTCGGTAGTACATAGTCGAATTAAATGAAATTGTTCGATCGTTTTTAGTCGAATATATGGTGTTTGTTTGATATTTACAAACCAAATAATTGGACCAGGTTTGACCCTATGAATCCGAACAAATACAATTTGTTTGGTTGTAGGTAGTCAAACATTTATATATTATTCGACTCTGGATAGCCGAACTAATACAAACGGCTTATCACTCAGCAAATAAACAAAAACAAACAAAAAAAAAAAAACAAAAAAATAACATTTTCCTTGCTCCATTGTTTCGAATCGGTATTGCCAGATGCATCCTTCATTGAATCCAATCAAAATTTTCAATAATACTATATGTGTGTTTGGTTTGTGTTTGTAGAGTAGTTTTTGAGATAAAAAAGTACAAAAACTTGTCTGGTTTGTATTTTTCAAAATATTCTCTCTAAAATAACTTTGGTTTTTTTTTTGTAGAGTAGTTTTTGAGATAAAAAGTACAAAAACTTGTTTCTCTAAAATAACTTTGGTTTTTTTTTTGTAGAGTAGTTTTTGAGATAAAAAAGTACAAAAACTTGTTTGGTTTACTTTTTTGGCAAATATGTTTCAAAAGTAATCTTGAAAATTGGATAACAAAACACATTTCTGAGAGTTTTTTTGAAAAAATTTGTTTGGTTCGATTACTCTTAAAAAAGTGTTTGTAGAGTATATTTCCAAATTTTTTTTTCCAAAATCAAACCAAACAAGGCCTGTATTTTTGGTTATTTCTTTAAAGGTTTTTGGTTTTTGTTTTAGGGTTTTTGGATTCTTGACAGACAAGATACGTAAGTAACAAGTTTGAGATTGTTGATGTGTATTATATTTATTCTTGTCCTTTATGGTAATTATACAAATGGCGTGTATCATAACTTATCCTTTGTAGTCATTTCACCTAAGGTTAAAATTGTAATAAAAAATAAATTAATTAATGGTGTGCCTTGAAAGGAAAAGTGGAGTGTAAATAGAGCCTTCCCTAATTTGACAAAAATAAATGTCAAAAAATTAATTTTGAATTTTTAAAAATTATTTCTACCACCAAAGATAAAATTATATAAAATGATAAATCATTTACATTTCTATTTTTTTATCAAATTAATTTTTAGTATGTGTTTAGATGATGATCATGTAATGAGTGATTATTTTTTGCTGATATTTTTGGATGGTTATCATGTAATAAATAGTTATATTTGCTGTTAACAAATATTTTTAGTTATCAAATGGATGGTTATTAGGCTTAATATATAATCGATATATTTAATATATAAAATATTTTTAGTTTTGAATTTTTTGATTTAATAGATTGATATAATAATGATATCAAAGTTATTGTCATTTTTGATTTTTAAAAAAATAAAAACTAATTTAAAGAAAGTAAATATCAAAAAATAAAAAATTATTTCTACTCTCCCAAAAGATAAAATTATATAAAAATGATGTGTTTTTAATTTATTTCACCAATTTAATTGTTAGATTCTTAGAATTTTTTTTGTTACAAAAATCAAACCGAACAGAACTTTATAACAAAAAAAATTTCAACATTATTCATTAAAAAAAACCCACTACATTTCAAAATCATATAAATTAACTGACATAAAATAAGTTACATCACTACTTTATCTTTGAAATAGATTGTTTGCAAATGATACATCATTAATTCTTCTTATTTAAAATAAAATTTAAAGTTTAAAATTAAATATATTATAATTAAAAAATCAAAAATTAAAATTACACGCGCCCTAAATTATAGAACTGTTAATATAATTTGCGTTATTTTTTTATTCCGTCACATTTTTACAAAAAAAAATTGTGTGTAATATGTAATTTTACGAAACAAATGACATGGGGAAGGCTCGAGTGCGTCTCAAACGCAATACAGACACAACTACGCATAAATCCACAGCTATTAAACGGAGAATAGAAATGGCAAATCAACAGAACAGCGGCGTAACGAGACGGTACCGAACCACATGAAAGACGATCATCAACAACACACAAACAACGACGACCATCGTACCATTTAAACCCTAATTACTCAATTTCTCTCCACTCTCTCTCTCTCTCTCTCTCTCTCTCTGTATAGCTTTCGCATTTCATTGCCAGACCTCAAATTGAGCTCCGAGACCTGAATGATTCCTCTGAATTGTTATCCTCTCTAGATTTGGGCATTGGACAACAATGGAGCCATTGATGGAGCTCTGCGACTTGATTGCGCAGAACCCAAACCAATTCGCCGAGAAACTCACGTGGATGTGCGGCAGATGCCCTCAGCCTGAGGCTCTCCAATCCGGATCTCCTAGGGTTTCTCGTGCTCAGCTCAATGCCGTCGTCGCAATCGCTAGATTTCTCTCTAAATGCCCTAATCACAGCCATCACCGCTCCCAATCACTGGTTATCGAGTTTCTCCGCACTATTCCGGCTTCCTTCTCCCAATCTTTCTGGCCACAGTCCTTCGGAATCGATTCTATTGCTTCTTTTTATGCCGATTTCTTGGCTTATGTCTCCAAGGCCACAGATTTGTCTTCAGATTTCGCCGCCGATGTTGCTTGTTTCATGGAAGATATTGTGATCTCTGCTGTTGCCAATGTCAATGGAGAATTGGGGATTTCTCGGGCTTTCTTGGGAGCTCTCTCACAGAGTTTCCTCCCCATTCTTGCTTCTGACGCTGATAAATTGGTTTCGTGTCTTCTTGATCACTTTGTGAGTTACGTCCCTAATTCTCCGGCAACCCCGGAGCCATCGTCTTCTCAGAGTTCACCTATGACTGCAAACTATTATCAAACGAACGAGAATTCTAGTCCACGACTCGACGTGAGCAATGCCTATGGTTCATCCAGCAGTTCTGCGTCAAGAGGATCGGTGATGAATGGTGGTAGCATAGGCTGGAAGAGCAATGTAGATCAGTTGGTTGCAAGTATTGGGAGCGTTGGGTTCAATGACGGAGGAGGAGGAGGAGGAGGAGGCAGTGCCACGGCCTATAGGCGATTGGTTGTCACCTTTGAGGAGGAGCCTGTGGAGAGCCTTGAGAAACAAGAAATTGCGTTCAAATTGATTACTCACATCCTAGATAAAGCACACATTGATCCCAAGCTATTGGAGCAGGTGAGGATTATTGCGAAGGAGCAGCTCCAGTCAATGTCTTCTTTTCTAAAGGCAAGATTTTTGGGCATACTATCTTCAATTCTCGTGTAATATTCTGTCGAATTTAACTTCTTGAAGAACAGGTAAAATTGAAAATGAAAGAACTGGTTCAATTGTTTGCTTTTGTGGCAGATAAGGAAGCGGGACTGGACCGAACAGGGACCTCTATTGAAAACTAGAATCAATACAAAACTTTCTGTTTTCCAAGCTGTAGCTAGGTTAAAAATTAAAAGCCTTGCATCCATCGATTCTGATGGAAAGTTGTCAAAGAAGTTGTTGCTTGGTACTCTTGCACTGTTGGTAGATGCTGCTGAAGCTTGTTTATTTTCAGTATGGCGAAAATTGAGAATATGTGAAGAGCTATTCAGTTCTTTGCTTGCTGGGATTGCCCAAATCGCTGTCACTCGTGGAGGCCAGCTGCTACGGGTTTTGCTCATTCGCCTTAAACCCCTTGTGCTAGCCACATGTGCCCAGGTACATATATTGTTTTGTTTGAGAGCTAGCTTGTCTATCCAATTCACAGTGCAGTAAACTGTTTCTGCACATTCTTTTTCTGGACAGGCTGACACTTGGGGCAACAGCCAGGGAGCCATGTTCGAGAGTGTATCGAAAACAAGCTGTGAGATAATTGAATTTGGTTGGAGCAAGGACCGGTCTCCTGTGGACACTTTTATCATGGGATTAGCTACAAGTATTCGTGAACGAAATGATTACGACGAAGAGGTTAGCCTTATATTGCTGCTTATTGAACAACAAAAACATAAAATGTGCACACGCGTAGACACAAACACATTTATGAGCACATGCATGCCATTTGTGAGTTTTTGAATGCTTATGGATGCTTGTCCCTTTGTGTGAAAGCACACAATTCATCATCTTTCATTTTCTTTTACTTTTTTAATATGCAATTACATCATCAGTTGTTTACTGTTGAAGCTGCTTTTAGCTGACATTGCTTACCTCTCCAAGCCAATATCAGATGAAGTCTGTCTCTTATCTCTCTCTCACACACGTGCACACACATTATTTTTGATAAGTACTTATCACATACCATTTTGCTGGTTTTCCTTGTAACTTGTAAGAGTTATTATTTCAATGCTTATGTGGTTCGGATAGCTCTGTACAAGCTTCTGCAAACACAAGGCTTTGTTTGGCAAGATGGATTGAACCTTTAGATAAAGGAAAAGTAGAAAGGTTCCCATGTCTTTGTTCCCTTTGTTTAAGCGTGAAGGAAAGGAGGAAGGAACGAAAAGGGTGGTGCTTTATCTACCGTTAAACTTGTACAGGTTAATATGATGATGACACTGTTTGATCATTGAAGGGAAAAATGAAAAAGAAAAGTTTCTTCCTTTTAATTCGCATTCGAGTAAAAAGGAAATGGTGGGCCAGTAGAGAAACTCCATCTTTTCCTCTTCCCTTTTCCCTTTATTTATAATGAAGGATGGAAAACCCTCTCCTGCCCTTTCTTTTCCTTCCGTCTTTGTATTCCTCTTACTGTTTTCCTCCCAAGATTGTGAGACATTGATCGTGTTAAGGATTTTGAGGTCAAAAGGTGTAGAGATGTTATTTTGTCATCTTCAATTTGTCGAGGTTGATAGGATCAGATTGGAAGCTTCTTGTTCTGTAGTAGGAGGTGAAACTATCACTTCTATGTTTTATAAGAAAGTAGAGTTTGAATCTAAGTTGTTCGGTAAATGTTGTGAAAGCCATTGGGACTTTGAAGATTAACAGGGATGGAGAGTCTATCACTAATGTTAGTATGTGAATCTAGAATGCATCATATTCCTTGAATTCTACATGACAACATTTGTGGCTGGCTTTCATGTGCTTAGTCTTCCCTTTGGAGGTAATTGTTACAAGCTAGATTCTAGAGCTGATATGACAGCAAAGTTGGCCACTTGGAACTAAGTTCATATTGCATTAGGGGGGATGGCTTTGATTTTGCTTGTTTTTGCTGAACTTTTATTTCTTGTAGATCCTCACATTCCACTGAAAGTGGAGTTTGAGAATTGAGAAGACTTGACATTTATTTTAGTTGGGGTGTGGAATAGAAAGAAGTTTAGGGGTGTGGCATGTATGTTGCCTGAATTCAAATGGAAGTTGGTTTTGAATTGACAATTTGGCCCTTGACATAGTAGAATGGTAAAGGGGATTTGTGTAATTGACTCAAAGAGATTGAGTTGATTTGAGTTGCATGTGTTGCTTTTTGGTTCTCCTCTATGGTGCTATGTATTATGGTGACATTGAGACTCACTTTTGGAAGTGAGATCATAACTGGCTTTAATTCTAATCTAGAATGACTTTTCGAGAAGGTGTTGTCTTCAAAGTTCTATTAATGCACTTTGCGAAAGCCTTAATCTTTATTGTGTATTTTACTTAAACTGGATATTGGATCATGGTCTCAACTCCCAAGTTTTTGATCTGATGGGAATTGTTCTTTCTATGAAGCCGTTGCTTTGCTTTTATTCTTTTCTTTGGAAGATAATTTGTAATGACTATTTATGTATGTTTCTACTAGGCTTTAGAGTTCTACACTTGAGAAGTGGTCAAACTTTTGTTTCTATGTAACTCTGGTGTTTTAAACTTCTGTAATTGGTATAAATTTGGTTGCTTTTGTGATAGAAAAGAAGTATCGACGCGTGAAATCTCAAAACTAAACTATAATGTATGGATTTCCATTTTCTTTTTCTTTGGTGAGTTATTGTAAAATTTCAAATAGGGGAATATCCACTTGATTGGTAAGACCGATAGATGCAACAATAAGGAAGAGTGATAGGATCACCATAAATCGAGATGATAGGGGAAAGGGAAGACCTAAGTTGACATGGGATATGGGAGTGAAAAATATGGATTTATTTAACTTAATTGAACTTATAGCCCCTTTATAGAGCTGAATAGAGAAAAAAAGGATTCATGTAGCTGACTTCACTTGATTGGGACGCAAGGCTTAGTTTGGAACACTCAAGGAACATGTGGGATACCATATGCATGACTGAGAAGTATTTTTAATTTGACATCTATATACTCGTTCAGCTTCTTCGTAAGTTTGTTTGTCTTTCAAGTGTATGGCAGTGAAGTGGTACATTAGTGTTTCAAAGCTCAAGTTACTTGGTAGGGTACTTATTATTTGTTCCTAACTTTGCCTTTGAAGTCCATAGAACACTGTGTTAAATAGTCTGGATCTGCATACTCGTAGTGAATATTCTATACCTACATGATATGGACATATGTCAAATATTACCTCTTGTATAATGTTTTACATCTTATAGATGATAAGTTTCTTCTATTTTCTAACCTTTAAGGATGGGAGTCTTTCCATTATCTATATAGAATTTATCATGCTCCTTGTTATCTATTGGGAGAACTGGTAGATGTTCCTTTTTAGTTTGTCTAAACATGATTGGGGTACTTAAAAGTGTTATTTCTTTTGAAATTATTGTTAAGGATGGGAAAGAGAAGCAGCCAGTTCCTGCTGTGCAGCTTAATGTTATACGCTTGCTAGCTGATCTGAATGTTTCTGTTAAGAAGCCTGAAGTGGTAGACATGATATTGCCACTATTCATCGAAAGTTTAGAAGAGGGTGATGCTTCAACTCCCGGCTTGTTGCGACTACGAGTACGAAACTTTCACTTCAGAGGATATATTTAGTATATCTATAATTCTGTGTCTTTTGCCCTTTTACACTTTTTCTTTTTCCACTTAAATTCTCTTATCTCATTGCTTTTTTTAATTCTGTGGCATGGTTTCTTAACCTGTGCTTGTTGAGTTACTGCAGCTTCTTGATGCTGTTTCTCGCATGGCGAGCTTAGGTTTTGAAAAGTCTTATCGTGAAACCTTTGTTCTGATGACAAGAAGCTATATGAGCAAACTCTCTGCTGTTGGCTTAGCTGAAAGTAAAACCCTGGCACCAGAAGCAAATGCAGAACGCGTTGAGGTATGGTAACTCTTTATGTGAACAATGTATCATATTATCAAATTTAGTGAAAGTCATTCTATTAAGTGGAAGCTCACTGGTTCAATTATTCTAGACTCTTCCTGCAGGATTTCTTTTAATTGCTAGTGCTCTTTCCAATACTAAATTACGTTCAGACTATCGTTATCGTCTGTTATCTTTTTGCTCAGATGTAGGCTTGGCCGCAGAGTCCAAAAGTGGAAGGTAGAGTTCTGTTTGTAATATAATATGGTTGATGGCATGTTATACTAAAATGTACAATCTCTATTTTTAATTAACATAATATTGTGCTCCCTTTGATGCTTTCTTCTTTTTTCATTTTCCGAATCAATTTGATTCTCCTAAATCACTGTATGTGTTTAGATCTTTCTTGACTTAGATCTTAACATCTACAGGAGTGGAGCGGATTTTCTTGGACCTCTACTACCTGCTGTTGCTGAAATATGTTCAGATTTTGTTCCTAGTGTAGATGTGGAACCTTCACTTTTAAAGTTGTTTCGTAACCTGTGGTTCTATGTTGCACTTTTTGGGTTAGCTCCTCCTATACAGAAAACTCAGGTACCAACAAAGTCCGTTTCCAGTACGCTGAATAGTGTTGGGAGTATGGGTGCAATGGCCCTTCAAGCCGTGGCTGGACCATACATGTGGAATACTCAGTGGTCTTCTGCTGTCCAGCGCATTTCTCAGGGGACCCCACCCCTTGTAAGTTTGATCTTTACGAGTAACTTTTGTCATTCTGGTTTACCCTTGATTTAGTCTTCAAATCTTTTTATTGTTTACTTTGGGATTGAACTAAATGTTGCTTTCTTTTCCAAATGTTTTACTCATCAAAGGAATTGCAACACTAGATTGTTGCTTTTGAGATAGGTGTTGTCAAATCGATTTGGAGAACTTTTTAGTCTGAACTATTTTATGTTGTGCAAATACATAAATATCATATACTGGTTCTCCATGTAGGGGTTATTGCATGCACATTGGTAAATCTAGGGACTGCAAGTGTGAAGACGCCGGCTCAAATTTTAGGGCAGTGCTCTTCAAATAAATATCGGTTTGGGATTTAGAGAATTGAAGAATAAAAGGGGAAATTTTGAACTTTTGCATGGGGCATGTTTAGTGGTATTGTCTAGTGAAGTTTAGGGTCAAATTGAGTCTTAATTTTATGTTTCCTATTAGTCATTTGTGACTAATGTATTTTTGTTTATGTTTCACTAGATTACACGAGTTATATTTTAGTAATTGTCAGATATACTGAGAGGGACTGTACTTTGATCCATAGGTCATATTATGTCTTTTTTTTTTTATAGGTTTTAATGTTTCTTCTTTGTTAGGTCTGGAATAGTCTTAGTAGTCAAAGACGCGTACTTTCTTATTTTTCAAGTCCTAATTCTACATAAATTTTACTTGTAATGTTTATATCTCATGGAGTTTTGAGATTGAGATGTGTAATGCAACTTTATCTCAAGGGTTGGTTTGTAAGGAGTTCTAGGCCAAATTCTTCTTAAAAAACCAGCCATCTACTGCCTGAGTTACTCTATTCACAGATTTTAAATGGCCCTTATCTTTGACCCAAACTGTATCCATTCAAGGATCTACAAAACCCTAATTTCTCCCCTTACGGTTTGGCCCTCAAAATTCAATGCCAAATCCATAAATAATTGCTATGCAGAAATTATGTTGAAACCAGCCATCTACTGCCTGAGTTACTCTATTTACAGATTTTAAACGGCCCTTGTCTTTGACCCAAACTGTATCCATTCAAGGCTCTACAAAACCCTAATTTCCTCCGTTACGGTTTGGCCTTCAAAATTCAATGCCAAATCCAGAAATAATTGCTATTCAGAAGTTATGTTGAAACCAGCCATCCACTGCCTGAGTTACTCTATTCACAGATTTTAAATGGCCCTTGTCTTTGACCCAAACTGTATCCATTCAAGGCTCTACAAAACCTTAATTTCCCCCGTTGCGGTTTGGCCTTCAAATTCAATTCGAAATCCATAAATAATTGCTATTCAGAAATTATGTTGAAAATATGGTGATATATTCCATTTGCTTTTCTGACTTTACCTGAAAACTTAAAAATAGTAGCTGTATAGGATTTTTAGCAAGACGGCTTCAAAAAATTCAGGAAGCTTTTACTTTGACCAAGCCAATTTCGACCTAAACCCACCACAAAACCAATTGTTGGTTTGCAGGCATCATTAATCATCATTTTTTTTTTTTTTGGGTCTCTTTTGGAACCCACCACAAAACCAATTGTCCGCTTGCAGGCATCATTAATTGTAAGTTTTTTTTTTCGGATCTCTTTCAGATCAGTTTGTACCCTGTTCACCCCTCCCAATCCTCCGCATTTTTAGAGCCAGCAATTTGTAAAGACCTTTCACCAAATCGTGCGTGCAATATTTAAGAATTTCGCTTTTGTTGGTGGTTTAAGTTGCTTGTTCATGATTTTAGTCAGAAATCTCTACTTAAATAACATGTTGGTGTCCAAATGTGCTTTCATGTTCTGTTTGGCTATGTCAATACTTAAATGTGCTTGTGTTTGTTTGATGGAGACACATTTACATCAATGTGGACCTAGTGTTGATCATTCTTACTACAGAAGTTGGGTGGACGTAAACAATTTTACATGGTTCTACCATGGAAATCTTGCTACCCCAAAGTAAGCATGACATTATGATTTGAGGACATTATATTTTTAGGCCTCGTCACAGGTCAGTGTTATGCAATTTACCAATATGTTCCCCTTTGGCTCTTCACCATAGGCATGTTGCTTATGAAAATACCATAGGAGTGCAACAAGCTCAACTTTGAAGGGGGTTTCACATCTTGGTATTGTTAACAAAATGAAAGGAGTATTTTTGTAATCTCTACTCATATGATTCATTGATTGGTGCCTATTCTTGTTCAATTTAAGGTATTTAAATTTGGCTCCTATTCCATTTATTAACTCAATCTTACCATGTCAATCTCAGAGAGAGGAAATCCTCATCCCATAAGTCATCAACTGTACGGAGAAATCAGCTTTGATAAGTTGAATTTTAGCCTTTTAAGTGTTTGATAAAATCTTTGAGCATTGTGCAAGGTTTTTGTATATAAAACATACAGTCCAAAAAAGCATACAATTCAGGTCATTGCTCATCCAATCTGGTTATTTTTTTTTAGATTGTGTTCTTAGTGGGGCTCATGATGTGTTTTGTTTGATTTTATTTATTTATTACTACAAGAATTTTATTGAAAAAAGGCACCAAGGGGTTGCAACTTGTATACGAAGGAAAAAGAAAAACAATTATACTCCAAAAACCTAGTCAGTGGTCACTCACTACAAAGTCCAAAAATTGATTCAAGGATGGGATGGCCACCCCGAAAATCAACTATACAAAATAGGCTCTTCAACCTCAGAATTGATGCTTCTCTACTCTCAAATATTATTTTATTCCATTCTCTCCAAAAAAGCCACATAATTGCCAAAGGAATCCGACACGAAGCCCTCCTCCTCCTCTTTACTCAGATCACCTTTCCAAGAGCAAAGAATTTCCCCCACATAACTAGGGTACACCCAATTACTCCAAACAAGAATAGAATCAACAACCACAACTGCCCAGCTACTTCTCATTGAGAAGACTTGCACTCTTGTCATCTTGCTTGCACATACAGCACCACTTGACATGTAGTTGCCTCCTCAATTATCAATTGTGAGAATCTTAATGTTTTAAAAACCGGATTGGTGAGCAAACCGGAAAAAGGATCAGGTGGACGTGTCACTGGTTCAATTGTTGGGTCGAATCAAAATCAAACCGTGACGTTATAATTATTTTATAAATATATTAAAAATTATTTAATAGTAATATAACAATTAAGATACATTTATTTAAACATATTTATATTTATTATTTGTAAAATATATTAATTATATGTAATGTTTGTTTGAAAAAGTAATAAAGATATATATATATATATGTATGTATATTTATCAAATATAAACAAAAGTTGAAAGTGGCATAGTGGTTATTTGTCATACTATTTCCATGTGGTTCTGTGTTCAACTCTCCCAAACAACATAGTTTTGCAAATTGCTTGCCATTTGGCAAAATGGGAGCTTTTCCGGTTTTGTTGAATTGGTTCCGGTCCGAATGGGTCGCCGGTTCAGCCGTGGTTCTGACTGGTTTAATGAAAATAGGCTAGTTTTCACCATAGAATGGGTTTGGGGATTAACCCCGACTGGACCTTAGACCATTCGACAGTTCAACCGGTTGAATCGGCTGGCCTGGTCCAGTTTTCAAAACATTGCAGTAGACTACACACCAAGCCAAAAAAAAGTCACCGTAGAGAGCCAAAATACTCCACACCTCTTTTTATGGGAAGGAGACCCCTCTATGACTCATAAGGGACTCAGAGAAAGACTTAACATTAAACTGACCCAAAGAAGACCTCTCCCATCAAATGGTATCACCTCCATCAGCAATATGGGCAATGTACAAGCATGCTAGAAGGTCAATGTACAACTACAATTCCCAATCATTGAACTCTCTACAAAGTGTAATATCCCAAAACACATAATTACTCTCCCCCCGTAAAACTCACTAACTGAAGCCTCCCTATTAAGAGCAACCTGGACAATATTAGGTTAAGCAACCTCCACCACCTCCTCCATTATCTGCCCCTCTCACAAGCAAACCTCTACAGCCACTTTCCCAAGCATTCCAACAAAGCTTGATTGAAGATAGCAAGCTTGCGAATTTATCAAAAAAAAAAAAAGATAGCAAGCTTGCGAAAGCCCAAGACAACATGGATAAGTTGAGATCGCAACTCTTGAAAAAGACACAAGGGTGAGGACAATGGGCATTAGTATGCACACTTAACATCTGGGAAACACATAACTTCGATCAATTCATGTAAATATATATTACCAGTGTTTGTTCTGTATGACCTTGTCCATCTTGCATTTAGAATTGTGCACTACATGCTTGACTTGTATCAGAAATGTGTACGGCACCATATTTTTACTCTTTTAATTTCTTTATTTATTTGTTATCCCTTGGACATGTTTGGGGTGTGTCTAACATGTTTATGGGGGTGAGGGAGAGTTATTTTCTAAATGACATGGTCCCAAGTGTGTCAGGTGGGCTGACTGTAATAATTTGATTAATGTTTAATATTTTTGCAATGATCTAATAGACATGTATGCTATTGTTTTTATGCTATTGACTATTGTTGTGATATTCTGACAGTCTGATTGATTATATTAGTAAATACAGAACTTTAAATATTGACAAAACAATCTGTTTTACTCCAGGTTGTTAGCTCTGTGAAATGGCTTGAAGATGAGTTAGAACTTAATGCTCTTCATAATCCTAGTAGTCGAGGGAGTGGCAATGAGAAAACTGCTGTAAGCCAAAGAACTGCACTTTCTGCTGCCTTAGGAGGGCGAGTTGAGGTTGCCGCAATGAGCAGCATTTCAGGTTTGGTAAACTTCTCAATATTCAGTTGTGAAACAATTGCAGATTTCTATATTTTGCAGGTCAACTGTGGTTGACATCAGACATTGAGTGAAGTTGATGGCTTTGGATGGGCTTAACATTTTCAAGTTCCTAAAGTATGATTTCTTAGTCCATATTTGGTGTGACTTATTGCCTTATGTTCATTATAACTTCTCCAGGTGTAAAGGCAACTTATCTCCTTGCGGTAGCTTTTCTAGAGATAATACGATTTAGCAGCAATGGTGGTATTCTTAATGGTGATCCTAGTTTAACTGCTTCTAGAAGTGCCTTCAGCTGTGTGTTTGAATACCTCAAAACTCCAAATCTCATGCCAGTTGTCTTTCAGTGCTTGACAGCAATTGTCCACCAAGCTTTTGAAACAGCAGTATTGTGGCTGGTATTTTTCGTTTCATTTAAGGCTTGTTGATTATAGTATCCATCCTCTGCTACTTTCCAAAAGGAAAAAAAAAAAAAATTTGATTCTCATCTTGCATGAATGGTGATACTCAGATAATAAATTTGATTTAGTTAGTCTTTAATCTTTACTATGTTCACAAATTTTTAGTAATTTTATAAAGTTGGACCAAGTTTCCTCTCACTGCATTAAGTTTGTTTTTAACTGGTATGGGATGATTGTGATTGCTCTATTAAGTCAAAAGTAACTTTCTACTATTTAACATGGGGATTCTGCTCCCAAAAACTATAGCAATAGAGTTCAAAATCTTTTATCCATTGACAATCTTGGTGTATCCTTTTAGGTTTTTGTAGTAACTTCAAATCACTGTAAATCCAGCACTGGATTTTTTGTTTCAAAATTTTTGTGGCAAAGCAGTCCATTGGTGAAAGTTAAACACCAAAGTCTAGATCTGGTCCACATATAAGTGAAGTGGTATCTATATAAATATAAACTGAAACGGACAGCTAATCAACTTAAGAACTGCTTCCTGATGGCTGGTGTCGCTCAACAACCTGAGGGAACATTTCAACCCTTTTTGTGCAGGAATTACTCTACAGGCAGAGCATTGTTTGCAAAAATTGTTATGCTAATAGCTTGCCCTGCTTATTTTGTTTTGTTTGAATGAACAAATACTAGAGAAATATGGAAACAAGGATGTTACATTAGTTTCCTTCTAATCTATTTCTGCAAGAACCAAGCAGCTAAATAGTTTCCTTGTTTTTTGCATGTCAACCAACTTGAAAATTGAAAATTATCTGCCAAATTTATCAGTGAGTGTGTTTTGTACAGAGCTGATGGGCTCTCTAGATGGCTTGATGGGCAACATGGTTTCTTGTCACCTATTTATGGGCTGGGTTGATGGGTCTAGAATCTGGATGCATTTTATACTCTGTATTCATGGTTGAGTTGGGTCCTACAATTTTTTTATTTTTTTTTTGTCCTAGGAGGGTAATGACTTTATAATTTTCTGCCTCCTGAAACTCAATTTTCTAGCCACAGGCTGCCTAAAAAAGGTTAATCTTGTGCTGGAATATCCTCACTACTCATCTTCTTAGTTTTTCTGAAGTTGCAATCATATAAGCACAGTTAATCCTTTTAAATTATTAGTCACTAATTTGATTCTAAATTTGATTTTTTTAGTTGTTAAGTTTAATAAATTTACTGATTGAAGGAAGGAATGGACGTGTTTCGACATGTGTATGTATGTTTTCAATTTACTGATTAAAGATCCTAAAATTCAATCACCTTTTTTGGTTCCAATTTTATGAAAATTGAATTTTTTTTTTGTTTTTCGTGTTTTTTTATTTATAGTATTTTTTTATTTACTATTTTAAGCAATTTTTTTTGCTTTTTAGATACACTTAATATAAATATAATTAAAAAATATAATATTTGTGAATTTAAACTTTAAAAAATCCACTAAATACCAAAAATACAAAAAAAAAAACAAAACAAAAATTCAATACATTTTCGTATTCTTGTGTATCTATGAAGCACATGTACGGGTACGAGTACTGGTACGATACGGGTACGTCTATACGGTAAAATTCAAAAAAAATAGGGTACGGGTACTGGTACGGGTACGGGTTGGTACGCTTGTGAAAAAATATTTATTTTTAATTTAGAGTAATGCAAAAATTAATTAAATGGCTTAATTTGTTAAGGTCCAACCTATAATTAACATTTAATGCCCAAAGGAAAAGTATAAATCAAAATTAAATGTCAATATATTAAATAACTTACAAACCATAATTTAATTTTAAAATCATGCTAAGCATAAAACAAAAACTAAAAAAGAAATTTAGTGAAATGAGTTTTATCTCTGTAGTAGAAGGAAAATATTGTTTTAACTGAGATACGGTATGGCTTGAATATATACTAGGTATGTCTGGGTACGTCAAAAATTAAGAAGAAAAAACTTGGATACGTGTTTCGTGTACTCGGTACGTATGCAGAAGTATCATACGAGGTACGGTACGCCGGTAAGACCCGGTACGGGTACGACATGTTTTTCGAAGTACTCATGCTTCATAGTTGTGTGTTTATTTATTTTTAAAATATTTTTTATAAATATTTTACTTTTTAGGTACATCTAAGTTAAGTGCATCTAAAAAGTAAAAAAATTGCTTAAAATATTAAAAAAAATTCACTAAAAACAAAAAAACATGAAAAACAAATATCTTAGTTTTCAGAAAATTGAATTTTGAAAATTGGAACCAAACAAGGTGAATTTCTTGTCATGATATTTAAAATATTAGCTTAATAGGTGGGAAAGTTGGTAGCACAATTGTGGATTTGGCAAGACTGTTGCCAATAGTATTTATTTGGAAGCAAACTATCATAGGAAATTCTAGTGATTGGTCATTGGATCTTCTTATCTCTAGGAACTGTATTATCACTCGTAGATGCCTCGAGTAAAAAGAGATGTAGAAATTCTACTGATAATGGAAATTCCATTGAAAATTTAGTAATTCATTATTATTTTTGTTAGTTTACTTGGAAAACTTCCTCTTAAGATTGATCTGGCTATGCTATCTGCAATTGATGTCCACTTGTTGAATGGCTACTTGTTGTTCAACCCTTTTTCGTTGAAATTTAAAAGCTTATGCCGGGTTCAGGTCTTGAATCTTCATGAGGAATGTACCACTGTCCTATACTCTCAAGTAGCAAACTATGTAGAGCCTTTTATGGCAGATCCTTGCCGTACCTTCTCTGACATTGCTTTTCATTTATCTTTTAAAATGTGGCCACCAGAAGAGAAATTAAAACTAAAATTGCGTGTGTTAAATCTGAAACGTCTGGATTAAGTTTGTTTCTTGTTTTTGATTTATTTTTGTTTTTTGTTTGGTTTTTGGTTGTGTGTGTGTGTGTGTGTGTTTTGGTTTATGTGAATTGATGATGTCATGTGATTTACATCATTCGTCCTGTTCAATGTTGCTTTGCTTATGTTTTTTTTTAAGGCTTTTCTTGTATGAACCTTATTGACCTTTAGGACTGGATGCAGGAAGATCGGACATCTGAGACAGGCGATGGAGCTGAGATTAGAGACTTTACTCTTTCTGCACATACTTGTTTTCTCATAAAAAGCATGTCTCAGAGGGAGGAGCATATTAGGGATATATCTGTCAACTTGTTGACTCGACTTAGAGACAGGTTTCCACAGGTATTCTTTTTCTCTTAACCTTTTTTTTTGGCTGGTAAACCTGTTGTAAAATTTAGTGGCAATTACATTCTCTTATATATTTCTTTGATTTTCTTTGATTTTTTCTCCTTTTTTTTTTTTTTTTTTATAATTTTCTATAATTGAGTTTAAACTTTTTTCTCTGTTTGTTTAACATGCTGTGTGCACCTAAAAACCCAGATTTTACTTTGCAGACCCTGTGGAACTCTTCCTGTCTGGATTCCCTACTATTTTCAGTGCATAATGACCCACCTTCAGCCGTTGTCCTGGATCCTGCATGGGTAGCTACTGTTCGCTCTTTGTACCAAAGAATTGTTCGAGAATGGATCATTATTTCACTTTCTTATGCTCCATGCACTAGCCAAGGTCTACTTCAGGTTTGTTGATATTTTGCAATTCAAAACCATCTTTCAATTGTTTCACTCTTTTTTCTTCTCAATTCTATGAAGATTTTGGTAGCATGGACCTAATTGTGGGTTATTTCAGATTAATTTTCTTGGATCACCTTTATTTCATTGTCTCAAGGAACATGGTATTTGTTTTCTTATATTCATCCGCAAAATGGAAATGTTGGCGGATTTTGATTCCTAGTCAGTTTCTTGACAGGATGTTTCTTCATTTTTGGACAAATAACAGATCAGACTCTTAAATCTGTTTGAAAGAATCCCAACAGTATTTTGGGTCTAGTCAGTTTCTCACAGGAAGTTATTTTCATTTTTGGACAAATGAAGAGATCCGTCTCTTGAAATCTATTCAAAGTCCTAACAATTTTGTAGATTTTTAATCTATGAAGCATTATAAAGTTCAATTCTCACACTTAGCTCACTCCTAATCAGCTTATGTTGGCGTGCCCTTACAGTGGCCTTATTGATGTCCTTATAGTGGCCTTATTGATGTTTAATAATGTCATATGGTACCTAGACTCGTGTATGCTGCATAGTTATTGTTGTTGTTTTAATATTGTAATAGCCTGTGTCCCCCCAAAACAGAATGTGCTACGCCCGGTCCCTTTTCAGTAGATGAGACGAGGATTGATTGCGACCTATATAAGCAATTCCTTCAATGTTATTTAGGCACTACATTACTGCTTTCATGCTTCTGATTTCTATTGTCATCATTTCCCCTAACTTTTGTTTTATGTATTTTTATTTCATGTGTCCATATACCTTGTTTTCTTGTTCTGAATTGTATACACCAGGAAAAGCTTTGTAAAGCAAACACATGGCAAAAAGCACAGCCTGCCACTGACGTCGTTTCTCTTTTATCTGAGATACGGATTGGTACTGGTAAAAATGATTGTTGGAGTGGCACAAAAACCGCAAATATTCCTGCAGTAATGGCTGCTGCTGCTGCTGCATCAGGAGCAAACTTTAAATTGATGGAGGCCTTTAATTTGGAGGTGCTCAGTACAGGTGTAGTTAGTGCAACAGCTAAGTGTAACCATGCTGGAGAAATTGCAGGCATGAGAAGGTTATACGATAGCATTGGTGGAATTCAAGGAGACACATCACAAGGCTTTGGGCTTGGTCTTAGCCTTCAAAAGTTGAAGTCCGGAGTGTTTACTCAGCAACCACAACAGCAAAATGATTCTTTTAATGAGATTATGCTGACCAAGTTTGTGCGTCTACTTCAACAGTTTGTTAACATTGCAGAGAAAGGTGGGGAAGTGGATAAGTCATCATTTCGCGAAACTTGTTCCCAGGCTGCTGCTTTGCTTCTTTCAAACCTAGTAATCATACATCTTATCTTTGTGTCTCTATTTTCTTAGTACTGAAGAATTTAATGCAATTCCTTATTTTGTTTTCATTTACTATGGTGGGTGATCTTTACAGGCTTCTGATTCAAAATCAAATATGGAGAGCTTCTCGCAACTTTTACGTCTTCTTTGCTGGTGTCCGGCTTACATTTCCACACCTGATGCGATGGAGACTGGTATATTCATTTGGACATGGTTAGTTTCTGCTGCTCCACAATTGGGATCTCTTGTTCTTGCTGAGCTTGTTGATGCTTGGTTGTGGACAATTGATACCAAACGAGGTCTCTTTGCATTAGAAGTGAGGTATTCTGGACCTGCTGCAAAATTGAGGCCTCATCTTGCTCCTGGAGAGCCAGAAATGCCACCAGAAAAGGACCCCGTTGAACAAATACTTGCTCATAGACTATGGCTTGGATTTTTTATTGATCGTTTTGAGGTGAGAAAATGTCACATTGATTAATGTTCATCTGAATCACAGACTTGCAAAAGCAGCTATTATTTGTGTGCATTCCATAGTTATATGTAGCCTATATGTTGAATTTTAGTTGGGATAATGCTTCATAATATTCTGTGCTATGAAGTTTTGCATTCTATGGTAGTCTTTTGATTTGAATCTTTCAGAAATGATATATGCTGCGTTAGCCAATGCTGCCTTGATTGACTGTTTTTAGAAGGCCATATGTTATATTTTTGTAGTTAGCATTTCATCCATGACGTAAACATTGGTGGATCTTGCAAGTGCATTAAGTATTCTATGGACCCTGCTCATGCTTAATGAGATCAGATAAAATTTCAGTTGCTTCTTATAATTTTGTGAACTCAATAAAATACTCATGTGCCAGCTCAAATGGGTGTTAAAATGTGCAGCTGCTACATTGGCTCAAATTATCTGATTTCAGCTATGTTAATTCAATTCTCCTGATATAACTTTAATCACCCTTATGTGGCAAACTATTATTTTAATTGAGTGCTCAACTAAAATTGTGAACAGGAGACTTTTGCAGAGTGGTCCTTTTTATTTTCTCATAATTTTTTGTATTTGAAGTTGTGTAAAGCTAGCCTGTTATTGCTATGGTCCAGTGACACAGATGTGGGAAATGGACAGAGAGAGTAAGTGGCACACGGACACGACACGTACACGAACACGTCGACATGGAAAATTCCAAAAAAGTAGGACACGGACACATCACAAATAATTCTATCTTGATATTATCTAGGAATATATTCTATTATAAAGTTAAATATGTGCATAATACATGCAAAATTAAATAATTATTTTATACTAAGTAAATCTTGTATCTAATTCTCTTGCATGAATTTTTTGAAATTGTAGCAAGCATATATAATTGTAACATTTCTCTTATCCTCCTAAGCCATTTACTAATACATTTACGTAATTTTTTTCATTTTCCATTTAATTTTATGTAAAGCTTCTATAGGATTATACCTAATAATTATAGGTTTTTTAAGAGTATGAGATAGTTATGTCAAATTATCAAACTTTGAAAATCATGGGTTAGCAAATGTTTAAAAAGTGTTAACCCAAAGGGGTTGGCCTGGTGGCAAGGCCTTGGGTCTTGGGGGTGTGCTCCGTCTAAGGTTTAGGGATCAAAACCTCTTAGTGCTAACAATTCCTTGGGGCCATTGGACTGGAGAAAAGCCCTTGAATTAACCGTGGTGCACTTGCGGAAAACTCTTTGCTGAGGGCCTGTAAACCCCTGGGGATTAATCAGGTTTTGATCCGGACACCTTAGTGCCAATCAAAAAATGTATAAGAAGTGTTGGTCTCATGTTTATTTTGTAGTGATAGGCATGGCCAAGAAGTAATGCACATGTCGCAAAATAAGTGTCGGAGACATGTCTGGAATTATTTTAATTTTTAATTTTGGACACAGAAAAATAGTATCGGATACGTGTCCTAGATTGTTTGAGGAGTGTCGGTGTTCGAGATGGACATGTCAACTTCTTAGAAGTGTTTGTACGTCTTAGGTTTGTGGTATACTTGCATTCCTGTGTGGTCACTTAATGATGACAAATAATATCCTTATTCACTCACCTTACTTAAACATGTATCATATTTGGCTTCTTCTAGCTTTTGAAATGTCTCAAATTTCTAATAATTTTATGAAATATCTTCCTTGGTTCCCCCTAATAAAAAATATACAGTTTCTATGTTAAACAAATATATTCCATTGTCTGAGGCATTTTGGATGAGTTTAGGTGTGTTTGTAAGTGTTGATGTCTGAGAAACATCCAACATGGATGCATTTTGTGTATGAAAGTATCTGTGCTACTTCAACTATTTGCAATTTAAATGATCTGGATTTTTATTGGTGTTAGCATTGAGATTGATCACTAAGTTATTATGGACTCGACTTCTAGTTTCTCAGTCAATGTGTTGATTATATGTCAAAAGAGGTTTGAAAAAACAAATCACAAACTTGGTAAATGTGGTTGAAGCTTTCTAGGTTGGAACCTTCATTTTGCTTGATATATCATGGGAAAATAAAGCTACTTGCACCAGGCGTTTCCCTTGCCCGAAAATGGTTAGAAGTAATTATTTCAATCTGATTGTTTAATTAGCCAGTTGATGAACCTGAAACAGAGAGAAGTAATTATTTTATTTTTAACGTGGCACTTGTGCTGCTTTAACATTTCCCACTTTCAACTTTTTAGCATTCTGCCATCTCAACAGAAGTAACAGCAATGATGTACTTTTCTTTTTTGTTTTTTTTTTTGTTTTAATTATTTGAGACATGTTTCAGGATTTTTATTTATTTATTTATTTTTATCTCATTAATCTAGTGGGCTTTCCCTTTTATGTCAATTGGTATTAAAGTTGTAATGACTATTTATTTATTCTTGGTGAGTGTTCATTTTTCTGATATCCGTATTGGTCATTAGTTGGTTCCTCCTTTTTTTCTCCTCTTTTATTTTGTTTGCTTTTGTTTTCTTTTGTTTTCTACCCATAATTCTTCCTGTTGGATAGGTAATTCGACATGATAGTGTTGAGCAACTCTTGCTTCTTGGTCGGATGTTACAAGGGACTACAAAACTCCCCTGGAACTTTTCACGCCACCCGGCCGCTACAGGAACTTTTTTCACCTTCATGCTGCTTGGTCTCAAGTTTTGCTCATGCCAGTCCCAGGGCAATCTGCAAAATTTCAGAACAGGGCTTCAGCTACTGGAAGACCGGATATATCGGTGAACAACTTACTTTTTCTTGCAGTTACTTTTTGAGCTTCATTGTACATTATCCACATTGACTTACATCAAGCATAATTGATTTTGTTGTTTATTATGTCAGTTGACCATTTGCTTCCTGCATCATGCCATGTAGCTCTACCTGTGTGGGATATTGTCAATTTTCTCTTTTTCCAGCCTATAGTTATCCCTTGTGGCCATGTGCGCACAAACTGAAATTTATGCTAGTGCATCATTTGTAGTGCATTACAAACTGAAATTTATGCTAATGCATCATTTGTAGTGCATTACAAACTGAAATTTATGCTAATGCATCATTTGTAGTGCATCTTGTGGAACTTCTATGATGGTCCGGCCGGATTAGTGATATATCTTCACATTTTAATATGTGGATGTTTTTATTATTTATTTATTTTACTTTAGCTCAAACTTAACCTATGTGCATTTGTGTAATTGGTTTCTGCATCTTCTTGTATTCTTTTGCATGTACACTTAATGGTAATTACATCCTCGATTCATGACATTCACAATGTAAAAAACTTGTGGAACTTCTAACATTGCTTCAACTGGTGGTGTATGAGGTCATGCTAGTTGGCAGTTTCTTTGTTACCCACAAATGTATACATACATATAATGCACCAATAAGTTATGCCTGTAAGCTATTCCCATTTAGTCGTATATCTCTGTGCTTAATTGCTAATCAGGGTGTTCATCAAATCTCTTTTTTCCTTGTGGGACATTTAGTGTGTCTTCAAACAACTATATAGTCTTAGAGCCTATCAATGACTACATGGATTTATTCAATTGGCTATGTGAGTAGCAATGCTGGTATACCATGAATGGCCTTAACTGTATAATTTAATTACGTCACAAAATGAACTCAATAAAACATGTTTCGTGTATATATATTTGTGTATTTATTTGTCTTTGAAATTGCAATATTGAACTTCAAACTTCTGAAATTAAGCTTGAAGCTCAACCTTTTCTGGTTGATGTCTTCAACCATATTTCTTGTTTTTGCATGTACTTAACGTTCACTTCTGTGCTTTTTCTTAACTTGATTTTTATGAAGTTTAGTTTTGCATCTGGAAATTGAGACCAGTCTCTTCTGATTGTTACAGGGCCTCTTTGGGCTGGTTTGCTCATGAGCCTGAATGGTTTGATCTTAACAACATAAATTTTGCCCAGAGTGAGGCTCAATCTGTGTCTGTATTTGTTCATCATATTTTGAATGACCGTGTGGATGCTCCTCAAGTTGATTTAAAGGGGAAGGGATGCGAAAATGGAAGCTCTTTGATTGATTTGGTAAGAAAATCATAGTCATATCACATGGAACCTACAGCCAATATAGTTTCTGAGATGTGTCAACCAGTAGTCTTATTGCTTCTCCAGCTGGGAACATTTTCTATATTTTTTCCTTCTTGGCATAGGATTTGGTGCTATTTCTGCAGTTTATCCATGAAATTCTTTAATCTGCAGAAGGATCAATATCACCCTGTTTGGGGTCATATGGAGAACTACGATGTTGGAAGAGAAAAGCGGAAGCAATTACTTCTGATGCTTTGCCAGCTTGAGGTTGATAGGCTTGAAGTTTGGGCACAACCTGTTAACCCAAAGTAACTGTTATCAAAAGCTACATTCATTTACTATTTGATAATCGAGTGTATCAATCTTATTGTTAAGGATGATTGGCATTCATTATTTGCTATTGCATTCACATCTATTTCAGGGAAACTGCGCCTTCTCGGCCTAAAATTACCTCAGATAAATGGGTTGAATATGTCCGAACTGCATTTTCAGTTGATCCTCGGATAGCTTTATCCTTGGCCGCAAGGTTCCCTACAAATACTTTCTTGAAGGCCGAAATGACTCAGCTGGTTCAGGTATGTTATTCTTGTCTTAATTAGTGGAAGTTGGAAATGCAACTGGATTTTCAAAACTATTGTTATGAGGAGCGAACGAGTGAGAAATAATTTAAAGGTAATTTTGATGGTAGGAAATCTTTGAAAGTCAGAGAGAAATGTGAGTACTGAGCTCTTCTAAAAAACATGTGGGAATATATCTAATGGTGGATAAAATTGAGTTAGATTGTGGAGCTGGTTTGACTCTTTCCTTTTGCATAACTAATCATTTTTATTTTTATTTTTTATTTTTTGTGTATGAGCCTAGTGGTAACTTTGGGTTCGGACCCTTTTCCTATCCAAAGAATAAGTAAGTGTACACAATTTTGTGCCTTTTTCTTTCACTATACTCATTTTATTAATCTGTTGTATTTTAGTTACCCAACAATATTTGTAAAATATCACCAGCCTTGTAGCTTTTCTATAAATTTTTTCTTTCAATCTTGTTGGTATTTGCCAGTCTCATATTATGCCAGAAGGACCTCTCCACTTGAGCTGACATACTTTGATTCTATGGTTCACATCATCTCCAACCTCGTAATCCTTACTAGTAATAGAACTCAGGCCATGTTTGTTCGGGGAACATGGTTTTGGGATTAGATTAATAATCTAATGAAATACATAATTCCACGCTTAGCTAAGAAAATTGGGTCCGAAGCCGGACATGGTATCCCTTATATAGGGGACTAGGGGACTATTGAATCCCATAAGGGTGGGTGGGATACAAAATCGGGGATTAAGGAGAGCTTTGGACTAGTTTAGTAAATCACAAAATTGGTAGAATTTGGTCAATACCTACACATAATCTTAGGCCAGGCCAAATATGGGATTAGATACACAATCCAATCCGCCCAAACAAACATGGTCTTATATAACAAAATTGTTCACTCTTTGGTTTTCAATCTTTACTTGTTCACTATTTCTACTTCTATTGTTACTAAATTTACATTGTATATATTGATTTTGGTTACTAATTTCAGACTCTTTTGATGCTTCTATCCAAATTTCTAGTTAGTGCTAGTTTCTTTTTCTAGTTTCATCCACTAAATAATATCATATGCAAACATCATATGCATGGAGCATCATCTGGAATGTGTTTCGTTAATTCATCCACGATTAGTGCAAATAAGTAAGGACTCAAGGTGTGGTGAAATCCTATTGTGATTTGTATACCTGGTGCTACCATTTCTTTTTCCTTCACATGCATGTGCTTTGATGTAATACTTCAATATTTTTTTTTGTTTTTTTATTTTTATAAATGTTCTTTTTAATTGAGACAAATTTTTTAAATTTTTTTAATGAAAGATAGGAATTATGGACATCAACCAAGAAATCATTTTATCAATGGTATGAGGTTATGAGCATAGTTGTTAGAAGGCTCAAGGCACAACATAAAGCATGGCCTTGGGTAAAGTAAGATGCAAGTGTGTTAGGAATGTATATTAAATATACTTACAACTACAACCGTAAGCGATTTGAAATATGCAATACAAGTAAAAGAAGGTGATTTTATTTTTATTTTTATTTTTTATAAATCGATATATGTAAATATTTTCAATTGGTATATGTATCCACTAAATAAAAAATCCATTAGATATTTGAAATAATGAAAAAATTAGTGGTAAAGTTTCAGTATAAATTATAAAATTCCAAATACTAATAGTTATGAATTAGTGACGTCTATTTCAAGTCGTCAAGCATGAGAACATGAATCTAGAAAACAAAATATTAAAAATGTTTAGACAATATTATCCAACTCTAAGACCGCATGAATACTATACAATGCATATCAGGTAGGACTATTGAAAAGTATAGAGAGGCATCCATTATTAAAAAATGTGCACCTTTCTTGACCTTGGAGGCTACTGAAAATCTTAGGTTTGAGGGCTTTGTGTGGGGTCTGGCTTGGTATAGAATGAGACACTTGTTTTGAGCCTTGATGCGCTTGGGGCTTTCTTGGGGCCTCAACGCTCCTTTAACAAATATGGGTATGAGAGTTGATAACAAAGTAATGCACCTGCTGTTAGTGCCCCCCTTTTGACGTTTCTTTTCTAACAAAATTTTACCTACGGAAAAAGTACACAAATGATTTCCCTCAAACCCGAACTTATGTGGGAATTCTTAAAATGGAGCATTTGTGAACACAAGGATTATCTAGTTCCCCTACATACTGGGATAGCTCTGTACACATCTGACTTGTTCGAGTGATTTTATGGGGGAAATATTGGCATGGGACATTTTGGTACTAGATTTATGTTTTAGAGGGCAATACCAAGTTAGGAAGGATGGTGGGTGTCGTAGGACGAGATGATGAGACCTAAAAGGGGATAAACTAGAAATATTTAAGAATAAAATGGATAAGGAAGGTATTTGAGACTTGGAAGATGATACTAACACTATGTGGAACTCGATGGTTAATTGTATGAGGAGAATCTCAAGGGAAGTGCTTGGAGAGTCGAAAGGAACATGACCTAGTTCTAGGGAAACTTGGTGGTGGAGGAAAGAGGTTCAAGCGGTAGTTAAAGCAAAAAAAGAGCGCTTTAAAAAGTGGCAGAATGATAGAGCTGAGGAAAATCTTAAGAGCTATAGATTAGTTAATAAGGAGGTCAAGAAAGTAGTGAGAGAGGCTAAGTTAAAAGCTTATGATGACCTATACACTAGACTAGATAGTAAGGAGAGAGAGAAGATGGTATACAAACTTACTAAGATACGAAAGAGGAAAACAAGATAATTTTAATCAAGTTAAGTGCGTCAAGAGTGCGGATTCTAAGGTATCGGTAGAGGATGAAGAGATTAAGGAAAGATGGAAGAACTATTTTGAGAAATTATTAAATGAGGAACATGGAGGTACGACAATAGGGGAAGAAATAGCCAGTAATTCAATAAACTAAGACTATAGGTTCTATCGCAGGATTATGAACTTTGAAGTGAAGATTGCACTTAAGAAGATGAAATAAAATAAGGCTTTGGGACCTGATGATATTCCTATTGAAGCTTGGAAGTGTTTGGGTAAAAAGGGGGTTGCTTGGTTGACTAGGTTGTTTAGTAAAATTTAGTTGACTAGGAACATGCCAGATGAGTGGAAGAAGAGTATTTTAGTGCCAATCTATAAGAATAAAGGAAATGTCCAGAATTGCAACAACTATAGAGGAATCAAGCTAATGTGTCATATAATGAAAGTGTGGGAGAGGATGATGGAACGCCGATTGTGAGATATAACAGAGGTGTCAGAGAATCAATTTGGGTTTGTGCCTGGCAAGTTAACAATGGAAGCGATCTATCTTTTGAGGAGAGTAATAGAAAATTATAGAGAAAAGAAAAGAAACATTCATATGGTAATTATCGACCTTGAGAAAGCATATGATAGAGTGCTCCGGGATATAATATGGTGGGTGTTAGAGAAGAAAGGGGTAACAAAAGGTTACATTGATGTGATTAGGGACATGTATGAAGAGGTGGTGACCACTATTAGATCGCCTGCTGGAGAGACAAATGAATTTCCTATCACTGTAGGGTTACACCAAGGATCTACCTTAAGTTCTTATCTTTTTGTTTTAGTTATGGATGAGTTGACGAGAAATATTTAGGATGACGTGCCATAGTGTATATTTTTTGCAGACGATATCGTGCTAGTTGATGAGACTAGAGAAGGAGTTAACACAAAGTTGGAGATTTGGAGAAAAACTCTTGAATCTAAGGGATTTCGGATAAGCAAAACTAAGACAGAGCACATGGAGTGTAAATTTAGTATCAGTAACAATGAAAACAGAGAAGAAGTGAAGATTGAGAACAGAGAACTGTCTAAGAGTGAATATTTTCGTTATTTAGGGTCAATTATCACAACAGCGGGGGAGATTGATACGGATGTGGCCCATAGGATTAAGGCGGGATGGTGTAAGTGGAGAAGTGCGTCTGGGGTACTGTGTGATAAACAAATACACACTAGACTAAAAGGTAAGCTCTATAGAACGACTATTAGACCAACGATGTTGTATGAGATGGGATGTTGGGCAACCGAGAAACAATATGTAGATAAGATGAGTGTGGCTGAGATGAGAATGCTAAGGTGGATGTGTGGCAAGACTAGACAAGACCGAATTAGGAATGAGTGTATTCGGGAATGGGTAGGAGTAGTACCGATAGAAGATAAGTTGAGAGCGAATTGATTGAGATGGTTTGGTCATATTCAACGGAGACTAACAGAGGTAGTAGTGAAGAGATGCGATGCTATAACGGTAGATGAAAGTGTTAGGGGACGGGATAGGCCTAGATTAACGTTGGCTATCGTTGTAAAAAGAGATTTGGATCTACTTAATTTGACTAGCGAAATGGCCTTTGATAGGGCCACGTGGAGAAGAAGAATTCATATAGCTGACCCCATTTGATTGGACTTAAGGTAAGGTTTGGTTTGGTTTGGTTTGGTTTGATTTGATGGGGTTATTCTTCCTCAGATTTATTTTTTATGAGTTGAATGCAGTGAGTGGTTTAGCACTTGAAGCAAGCTTTATCCTACTTGTCAGATGAAAGAAAAATAATTTTCTTTTTCAATTATTGGTTTCCTTTGGCCTGACATTTTTTCAGTTACTGTTGTCTTTATTGCTTTGAAGTCTTAAACTTACTGGATTTTAAAAGATTGAGGGCTGCCACATGAGGTTTCTTTTGAAATTTGCTCTTTAGAAAGTGTATTTGTTTAATCAATGACCATTATATCTGAGTTGTGTTCACTTCCCTCATTTGTTATTGCTGCACTAGTAAATCTTATCTACCAACCTTTTTGCACCATATCTTAAAATACTGCTATAGCCAACTTTCTACCACTGAATTCATTATAATTCAGTCCTTGTCCTGCTCCTTTTCCATCTTGATTCTTGACATTCTCCCTTCTGTTGTACTTGTTTAATGAATATGTGATACATACATACATATGTATATATATACATATAATGTTGCTCGATTCTTGATTGTTTGAAATGTAATGCTGA